GAGGGGACGCCACCCTCATGCCACCACAGGTAAGCAGCGGTGAGCCCGGCAGGTGGGCCTGGTGAGGGGCTTGCTGACTAGGACTGAATCCAGCAGCCTGAATGATCTCCCGGGGTTTGTTTCTTTAATACTTTTCCCCTGACTCTAAAGGTGCTTCAGGCTTAGGGTAGAAACTACAGAAGACACACAAAAGAAGCCCAATTCAGTGCCGTCGTGGGCGGCACCGTTGGCCAATCTCCAGTCAGGAGCAGGCTCTTCTGGTCTCCATCGTGTGCACATCTCTGTCTGTGCATGGGAAGCACGGCTCTGACTGCTCTGTGATCCGGGTTCTTGGTCGGCATTGTATCATTTTAAGGAATGTTGTCATGAGCACTTCCTTAGGACACTATTTTTAATGTTTAACTTTTCAGTACCTCCAATAATATCTCATCAAATATTTCATAACTTTTTAACTATTCACGCTCTGTGGACATTTAAGCGAATCTCAATTTTCATTCTTATAAATAACACAGAAGTCATCTGTATCTCTGATTATTTTCTCAAGACAGTATTTTAGGAGAGTCATGACCGGGTCAAAGGGAATGGCTATTTAAGGTGTTTGATGCTTCCTGGCAAGACGCTTTCTAGAACAGCCGGGCCACTGTCCACCCAGGTTCATTTGAGAAGTGGGAGGCGAACTCCTCTCTCTTGGCAGTAAAGGGCTCAGTAGTTCAAGCTTTATGGCTTGCCTGCCTCAGGAGCTGCCTGATGGTTCTGTGTTTTTATGAACAGAAATCAGCATTCACTATGAGGACAGGAACACAGGGGCTGAGCGGTCATGGGGTCTAAATACCATTCACGGAGATGACTAAGATGCAAGCTTGATATACAATCCAGCATAAGCTGAGAGTTTCAGCTTTCAATTATGTATGAGGGAAGAGGAAGGTTTTCTCAGAATGTGCTTTAGATTTACAAAAAATCTCCACGAGTTTCTGCCGGACTCTGGCAGAGAGATGAGCACCAGGACTGTGCTGACAGAGCAGCTCCTGCCCTGTCCCTCGAAGAGGCCCAGAGCCACCGCCCTGCCCCAGCCTGCAGGGCCAGAGCCACCGCGTCCACAGCACGCGGCGCTTGTCAGGGCTGTGTCAGGTTGAGCCTCAGAGACTGTCTTGTGGTGTAACCACAAATGCGCTGGGATTGGCTGCAGCAGGCTTGGTCTAACAGTCCCCAGACCTCTGTGCCACCCAAGCGTGGCCTCGGGATGGGCCTCACGTGATCCTCACCATTAGGGAGTGGGAAGGCCTGTAGTGACTCTGTCAGTTAAGGCAAAGTGACACCTGTCACACTGGCAAGCTCCGGCAAGGTAGGTTTTCTTTTTGTTTGGCAACAGGAAGGTAAATGAAGTCTGTTTCTTTTGCGGTTCTAGCTTAACTGTGAACACTACTACCACTACCACAACCACTACCACTACCACTACCAATACCACAACCACTACCACAACCACTACCAC